AAAAATCGAATAATGGTAGGTTTCTGTTTTGATCTTCGATTTTTCACTTCGATACTTTGCGCCTCCAGCTTTCTGTCCTCCACCCTCACCTAAAAGTGTTTTTCTAGTGCAAGGTTATTTCCATTTTTCCACCTATTTCCCTTTTCTCCTGACCGGTGGTCCCGTAGTGTAAACAATTACCATATTTTTCCTAATTTTCGTAAATGATTCTCGTTACCTCATCTTCAACGTTGGACAGCATAAGGAAGCATATTTTATGTGTTTTTCGTACTTACCTAAACCGTAATGATTTTACAAAAAGAACAACTTCAAGATTTATTTTTAAAATGGATTATTTCCTTACTAATTGTAACTAAACAATTTCAGTTGTATCACTTATTTGGGAAACATTTCAGTTAACTTAGCGAAAACATAAGACGAATCAATAATAGACAGTTCGTTCAGAAAAACTAACAGTTTAGGCTAAATATACTAAATAACAAATGAATTTACTAAATTCTCAAGACTGTGAAAATGTTAAAATGGACCGATCACTTAAGAGAAGTATTCGTAAACATTACAATACATAAAGAATCGAATGAACATTTTCATTACAGTAATATTCATTAATGGTCGGATATTTGTGAAACATTATTAAACAATAGAAAATAAAATCGATTTTTGACGTTTCAAGATGAAAAATTATCTACAATTGTTTCGACAGTATGATGTCTTTTTCAAGAGAGTAACAAAATGTTAGATGGGTCATTGTCAAATTTTGCGCAGGTAAACGAGTCCCTCAACATTATTTATTTTTTTGTTATTAATAATGTCAAAATCCTTAACGAATTATATATTAAATACAAAATACATCGCTATAGCGAACATCCATTATTGGAATAAAGACTCAAGTTTCGATATTTTTCAATTTTTTTCAATTAACAAAATGGTCATTAGTGGTAACAGAAAGGTTTTCCTTACAAATTGTACCTGTCCCATGTAGCATTCCGTTACAATAAACATCATATAAATGCATTTTCTACTATAGTAACCCTCTTAATATAAATTATAATCGTAAACAGAGTATTATAAATATTCAATAAAATATGTTTTAAAATCAGTCAGTATTAAAATTTAGTTTTTAAATAATTTTCTAAACTTTGTCCCACGTACTATCTGGAACCGGCTGGTTCACTATGTTACTAACTAATTCACGACTCAAAATGAAGATGGCGCTGTTTTGGACACTGTTTTATTTTGGGCGAAATGTCTGCATTCGTCGTGGGAGTTCGTTAGGTTGGGGGGAGGGGTATGTCGCTCGACAGTCGACCGCAAGGTGTTGAACGTGCTGCGTGTTTAAATTGCCCGTCCACCTTGTTACCTACCTATTCACATAAGTAAATGAATATTTTTTCATTAGTTTACGTTCAGTTTATTGTCTGAGGGGTAAATGTGTTAAATGTGAACGAAATATTTTACTTTACGCTTTATTTTTTGACTTGTGTATAATGGAATGTAAAATTTACCACTCTGTTACTACGCAACTCTGTTACTATCGTGTGGTAACAGAGTTGTTTAGAAAGTAACAGAGTTGCATAAGCCATTATATTCTGTTATTTGGCTAAAATATTATGTTTCAAATGTTATTTTTTTTAATCAGTTGTCTCAAGCAATGGATAAATTTGTTATATGTATACAAATAAATCGAAATAATAAATATAAATAACCCCAAAAACTCATTATTACAGGATATTATGCGTTGTTTGCGTTATTAAAATGCCTTTTACGCCTGCTGAGAAGCAGCGACGATACCGGGAACGCCGTAGAAATAATCAAGAGAAGAAGAATTAGCAAGATTGGAGTCCCAAACCGCGAATACAATTTTTGAGTTTAACTCCCGACAATGATTTGGTGAGGATATCGGCGGTCATCTCTTCGGTTGGTAGGAACTGGATCTGCAGAGGGTAGACCTGGATCGCCTGCCGGATGAAATGATGTTTGATGTCCACGTGTTTCGTTCGAGCGTGGAAGATTAGATTGTGGACCAACTTCCCCGCAGACTGATTGTCGTTGAAAATCGTGATTCTCGACAATTTTTCGATGCCGAGTTCCTTGACGAAGCTGGACAGGTGAATTTCCTCTCTGGTCGCTTCTGATAGGCTTACATACTCGGCTTCTGTCGAGGATATAGCCACGATTCGCTGCTTTCGTGAACTCCAGGAAATAGCAGCACCTGACATGGTGAATGTGTACCCTGTGTAGGATTTTCTGTTGATGACGCAGTTGCCCCAGTCCGCGTCGGCGTATCCCAGGATGCCCTTGTCGTCACGTGCATAGTTCAACTTCATGTTGATGGTGCCCTGGAGATATCGCAGGACTCTCTTGGCGGCGAGCCAATGGGTCTGGTCATGCTTGGCGTTGAATTGACTCAACATGTTAACGGCGAACGATATGTCCGGGCGAGTGCCAATGGCGATGTACATTAGAGCTCCGATCAATTCCCTGTAGGGAACTTGTGCGTTGCCTTCAGCGCTGGTCGGAAGATCCAATTGAGTGCCGGGTGCCAAGGGCGACTTGACGGCCTTGCAATCACCCATCCCGAACTTCTGGAGCACTTCTCGGATGTATCCTCGCTGGCACAAAGTGATCCGGTCCTTGGTCTGCTCGACTTCGATTCCGAGGCAATATCGGATGTTCCCCAGGTCCTTGATTTGAAAATCGGTCGCAAGCTTTTGCCTGATTTCTTCGACGCGCCTTGGATTCCGGGAAAGGAGGAGGATGTCATCGACGTATATAAGTGCGTAGGTTTCATTCTTCTCGTCGACGTAGACGCAGGGGTCTGAGGTCGTTGGAAACAAGCCGTACGATTTCATCTTGTTGCCTAGTTTGACGTATACGGTATACCATTGTCGGCCGGCCTGTTTCAGTCCACATAGAGCCTTGGAAAGTTTGCAGACCTGGTCGCCAGATTTGAAATCTCGTAACATCTTTTTGGTTTTGGCGACCAAGGTCTTGTCCTTTTCAACTCGGATCATCTTCTTCAAGGTTTCGGCTAACAGGATTGGCGGCTCCATGTAGACCAAGGTATCGATGTCCCCGTTGAGATAGGCAGTTGTCACGTCGAAGAATTCGGCGAGGTGCTTGATCACGTCTTCGCCTTCCTGAATTTTGGCATGGGCGAGGCGTTTGAGCAGGGTGGCCTTCCTGACCGGTCCCTTCGATGCGTACACCGATTCCAGCTTTAGCCAGACTTCTCTTGAGGTGTTGCAACCTCGAATTGGGGCGAGCTCTGACGGGTTGATCGCTAGGATCAAGTCCGCTTTCGCCTTGCGATCGTTCATTATCCATGCCTTGGCTGCAGCTTGCGCGGCTGCAAGTGCGTTGCCTGCACCTTCCACGACTGGTTGCACGATTTCGCCGGAGACGTATCCCCACGTATCGTTTTGTATGAGGATAGCTTCGGCTTGGATGCGCCACGTGTCGTAATTGTCTCGCGATAATATCTCAAGTCGCGTGGTCGTTGTCGCGTGCGCCATTTTGTTTGGCTGGCTACGACTCTTCGCGTTACGTTTTTAGACTTTTTCACTTCGCGTTGATACAATTTTCGATACACGATTATCTGTGTTTCGTACTGTCTGGGCCCATAACCTATTGGCGAGATCAAAAGGCACAGTGGAAACACAGAATTTGAAAGAAAATTTTAATAATTACGAACCGATCTAGTGTAACGTTACAAAAAAACTTTTTATTAAACAATTTGTTTAGTTATCACTATGGTGAAAACAAAAGAGCGGTGCCGACATAATAAAATGAAATAACCACAAAATATGCGAGATAATTGAAAAACTCCAACACTACCAATTTGATACTCCCTTAGATATATTTGAGAAATAAGTAACTTCAACTTTTTAGTTCCTCTTTCAAGACATTCTAATTTTTATTTCTATTAAAAGAAAAAATATATAAGAAAGTAAGCTCTTGATTGGTAAATTACAGTCATAAGTTTATTTTTGATATTATTAAAGTTTATTGATTAGGTGATTTAGATCTCATGCTTAATAAGTGCAAATTATTACGTAATGTACAATAAAAAGAACAACTATGTTACTGTGTTACAACTATGTTACTGTGTTACAACTCTGTTACTTTTCTGTCCCAAAGATTAAAGAACTAAGTAAGATTTTAAAGAGAAGCTAGTCAATATAATATAGCATATATTGCGATGCGTTAATTTAATAGATATTTATACAGTATTATGTTCCAGTTAGCTGTTAATATATAGATATTTGGAGGACTTAAGTAGAATTTAAGGTATTTTAATATTCAATAAGTAACAGAGTTGTTTAAGAGTTTAGATTAATGATTGTTAAACTTAACAAAAGACTGTTATGATTCTAATTATATGTAAAAGATATAAGACTGTTTAATATGAATACCAAAATATTTGCTACTGACTTGTTTAATTTCATAATAAAAGGTAAAACTAATTGGTAACAAAGTTGTATTTTTTTTACACCCTGATCCATTAAATGTGGAATAAATCTTAAATTATTGGTTGAACATCGCGACCAGCTACAATAGATGATAATGCAGTTGTTTTAACGGACACGGACATAGAAAAAAGTAAAATCTAAACATATAATTTTTTCAAAAAAAATATGATATTAAGTTAAATTTACCTGCGCAAAATTTGACAATGACCCAGATAATGTTACAGTTTAAGAAATAAATTCTTATATTAAAACACAGAAGTATGGATTTTATTTTACATTGTTTAATTTATACAATCATAACTTCGATTAGGAATAAAAGCATAAAATTAGATTTACTTAAAAGCATAGAAATAAACAAAATAAAATATTAAATGATTTTTAAGAAATATCCTTTAACTTTAATTATAAGATTATTCAATATTCACACCGAAAACCTGACTATCTAAAATTATAAAATTATACTGCCGTACTCCAAACCAATGAACCACAACTCCCGCAAAATTCAATAATATAGATTTCAAAAAAGCCATTAAATGTTTTATTGTTAAAATTGTTAATAATTATGCCTCGATATGGAAGAAAATTCTTGATAATGAAATTGGGAAAACACATATAATTTAAATGCTTTTACATTTCTGAAAATATTTACAATAAATTTAGATTCTGGGAAACTTTAAATAAAGAAAAAAATTATTTTATTAAGTTTATCTAATATTAAGTTACTTTTTCCCCTTTTTCTTCTTTCCATCTTTTCCTTTGCCTTTCCCTTTTCCCTTTCCCTTTCCTGTTTTGGGAGGAGCAAAATCTTTAGGATCATACTGAGCCTCGACATGGACTATTGTCTTCTTCTTCTTTAACCTCTCTGGACGAATAATGCCTGCAGGAGGAGTGAAGTCTATATCGAGCTCACTATCTGTTTCGTTTTCCTCATCATCCCCGCAAAAACATTCTCTTTTATCTTTTTTAGTTATTTTAAATTGCATCGGAGTGCAATCCATGTACGGATTTTCATTGTCCGCAATCGTATAAGGATCTTTTAAGGGATTCATTGTTATCCAATAAGTACCATTCCGTTTTTTCACCTGTAGAGTAGATTGAGGCGCAACTGATTCTTCGGATGATGATTCAAACGCCTGACCTTTCATTCGCCTTCTTGTTTTGGCCGGTGGTATTGTTAATGATTTTATTCCCTTCTTAAGCCAATACTGCTGAATTCGAGTGGCAATAGTTCGTCCAATTAATCCGGGCTTCCATCCTCTTCTTCTCTAAATATCATATGTTCACAGTAAATAATTGCGACTGTTATACTTCTAGAAAATGTTTTTTTGAAGTGAAACTTCTTTACGCACGGTAGGGTAAGTTCGCTTCATGCGAATTGCTATGTAACGAAATCATGCAGCGGATGTCCCCCTCTCTACTCGGTCACGTAGTCGAGTTCATAGTGGGGATCGCTTGAGCCGTGAGCATGCTTCAATGCAACGTTTGTTACAGGCAACTTTGGCATGTATAGTGTAAAATTTAAATTCATTAGTGTACAAATAATACCATTAAACCAATTCCTTAACCCCGGTATGTTTCTGTGTTTGAAGAAGTTTCACTTCGGTAGCGTGTTGTGTAATTACACGTTGTATTTTTTTGTCATGTTACCGCGGAAAGCTCGTTTTGTATGCTATGAAATAGGGAATATATAGTCTTTTTTCAGTCGTTTTCAATCGGGAGGCAATGAAATTAGTCATTGGGCGCATGCGTTGAAGTTTATGGGTATGCGTAGAAATCAGTTGTTGAATGCCAATGACTTCCTAACCTCTAAATCATTTTCTCTTATTTCGCCAACATGACAAAAAATAGTATACGTACCTTGGGAAGAAATAGGGTTATATGAGGGTATGCTTGCCACCCTCGCCTTCGGCAATTCACATGCAGTCTGGAAAAACCCTTCTTCTTCCCTCGATACCTAATGTATTATTGTTTTCTATTTGAAATAATTAAGAATATCTAACGCAAAACATATGTATGTAATATGCTCAGTGAAAAATTGCAAACGTTAAACCATAAATTATACTGTTAAGTAGATTGTGGATCAGTCAGAAATTCGTTGCAAACGTTTTGAGTAATTCCGTTTAAATAAAGGAAGTAATGACACACTTCCTATAGACCGGAAATGTCATAGTTCGTAAAATATGTTCAGATTTGTAGTAGTATACCAAACTGATTCACTTTTTGGTTGCTGTCAGTTTCAAATGAACAGTTTACATCAATCAGCTTGAGCATTTCAAATAATGAAGATAATTTTAATGGAAGATATTCCAGTTTACCATTTTTTTTAATGACAATTTAAGGTATTCGGAATCAATCGCAAAAATAACATCTTAATTTATAAACAAAATCATTCTTGACCGACTGTTTTGCAAGTATGCTTCATTATAAATCTCCATTTGTAATGAAGTTTGAGGGCATAATTGAAAACCGTCAGCTTAGAATTTTTATTCGCTTTACAGCTACTAAACGTTCTTTACACCTTAAAAACCTTATAAATAGGCATGTATGGTTAGTTAAAAGATTTCTTGCAAAAGCTGAAAAGCACCTGAAATCACTTGCGCGTTTAAATAAATGTAGGAGAAAATTATTTTTCAGAATTACTTAGTGTAGTGCAATAACTAATTATTATCGATACCTTAAGACTCAAACAAGGTACATGTACATTCCACAACCATCCTTTGTTATGTGGGACCTGTTTTCCTGGAATGACACAATGAGTATGACCGACTGTATTTCCAGGATATTGGTCACCAATAAAATAAGCAAATTTTCTACTTTTTCTTCCCTTCTTTTTGACGATATCTTTATTTCTAGGTTCAGATTTATTAGATACTGCTGTCGATTTTGACTCATTTACTGGCTTTTGCGGAGTGGAAGGTTTTTCTGCTACACCATCGCCCCCTCCCGCACTACTTTTCGATGCATTTGCTGTTGTTTGTTTTGAACAGCTTTTACATGATTTATCTCCACCCTTTGACTTACATGTATCGTTTGTGCAGGGACTACTTTTCTCTTCTTCTACTTGTACCTTTATTTCTGCACACGGGTCTGTCTTCCTGGAAATGTCGGGATACAAATATGAACAAGGATTTTCAAAGGGACATGGTTGTGTGTAGGGACAGGGAAGACATGCCGGACATGGTGGACACGGTGAACAAGGAGAAGGACATGGAGGTAAGCAAGTGGGACATGGGATGCACGGAATGGCCCAAGGACAAGCGGGATCATTGCATATGAAGGGTTCGTCTTTATTAAAATGGCAAGTTTTACTTTTAGATTCATTGGCATATTTATTCATTTTTCCGCACGTTTCATTCGTGCAAAAGTCGACACTCTTAAAAGGACAATCAGGATTGTCACAGTTGTCGTTATCGGCAGAGTTTTTTGATGGATTCATCGAACCACAATCATTTTCTTGTTTAGGATTACAACAATCATTTCCACTACAAACTTGTCGACCTCCTTCGCAACCTTTTTTATTACGTTTACTGCCTTCATCACATCCACCTCTAATACGACCATTACTACTAAACTCACCATTTTTTGTACATGGTTTTAGTCTTTCATCAACAACTTGCGAATCAAATGTACCTTCATTTTTAGGATAGTCCGTAATCGAAGCTCTATTCGAAGAAGTACCACTGTTCTTTCTTTTTCTATTACTATTAAACGGACAATTAGAATTTCCACATATGTGTGTTAATTTGAAAGGACATGCAGCATTATCGCATTCTTCACTACCTACATCAGCGCAAGTACATCTAGGTAATTTAGAGTTGGTTTCTTTTTCAGTTGCGGACTTATTCGGGCAGTCGGGATTTGCACATGACGGTTCTTTCTTAGGTGGTTCTTGAGGGCATGGAGAACAAACAGGTTTTCGATTGGGACAATTTGGATTTCCACAGGCGGGTATTGGTACACAAGTGCAGCAAATACACGAGGAAGAAGAATGCCTACAATCCATATTTCCACACGGAGGAACCTTTTTTCGTAAAATCGGTGGTGTATACGGGCAACTCGGATTTTGACATTGTCCTTTAGGTAAAGCCTCAGGACATTCCCAGTGAATTGGAGGAAGTGGTTTTGATGTTATAGGATAAGGGCACTTATTTGGTTGACCACATCTTTGACCGAATGTTGGACCTATTTGCTGCATCCATATTTTGTGTTCATCAACATTTTCACCAATTCTTTTTTTTGCCATCGGGCATGTTGCGGATTGACAATACGGTTTTTTACGTGGAGGTTTGGCATCAAGTTGTCTAGAAAATGGACAAGTTGGTACCCCACAAGCGTTTATTAAATCATTCTGATGTTCTTCCCTATAACATTCAGGAAATAAAGAATCGAGCTCATTAAACTTTTCAAAAATTGGAGAATCTGGGTCAATTTCTGATACAGCTCCCTCTTCAGCCTCACCTTCGGAATGCTGACATTCGCATACCCGTTTACAAATTTCACTTGTTACGTTGGGGGCGTATGGACAATAGACTTTCCCACATGGTCCCATTGCATTTTTAAAAGCTTGTAAACATTGATCTATTTCCTCCATTAAATCTTTGCAAGCTTCTGATGGGGTTGGAAGTTGAAGAATAGGAATTTCATCAAATATGCCTGGTGCTCCACCTTTCAGTCGTAATGGTGAGCCTCCTCCATAAAGTTTTTGACATCCGTTGCATAATTCAGTAACGTTTCGATAATCTCCTGAAAAATTAGCGGTTCTTGGTCTTTTATGGTTTTGAGGATTGTAATACTTTTGTTGAAAATTTGGAGCAAAGCAATAATAGCTTTCACCAGTTTGACGCATTTCATTTAGGTTTGAGATACTTCCAAATTGGTTACAATTTAATTTATTGTGACTTTGACTGTTATTAACCGATGCTTTTGATGGTGCATAACTAAGCTTTTGAATTTGCTGTATTTGTTTCACAGGACTTGCAAACATAACATTTTCAATTTTTTTTCTCCATACGAGGGTATCGGACATTTGAGATCCTTGATATCTAACATGAGAATAGTGAGCAGAATGCAAGCTCTGAGAGACACTGTGGGAATTCTTAACTTCGTTTATTGTAGGTTTCGGTACATTTGCTGTCGACTGAATGTTGGTTTTGCTTATTGGTGTAATATGAATTGTAGAACATGATGATCCCATTTCATTGTAAGTCTCTATATTGGATGGACTTCTGAAACAAGAACGGACATGCATTACATTCTTCACTCGTAATGTATTTTGTGATGATTCTAGTAGGCAGAAGGATTACTCTTGAAAAATGAATAGGAGTCGTTCAAAGCAATAATCGTAGAGTCGTTAAATAGATAATTTTGAAACCTTTTTATAAGTATGTCTTAACTTAAAAAACCCATCAAAATCAACCAGGTTTTCCTTTTTGAAAAAATTTTATGTTCTCATTTGCTGATTTCTAACAAGCAGTTATCTTAGTAATATCAGGACTTTGTGTGTAATTATATACGTATTTTACTAACAAAATCATAAGACTGAAGTAGATTCCAGGTAAAACTTCGGTAAATTATTAGTTCATGCAATTAGTTTTGTGATATCACTTTAGAAATATGTGTGTCGAGTAAATTCGAGCCAATCATATATTCATCGAAGTGAGCTAAATTTTTAAAATTAGATTGTATCTTTATTATCGAGTTATTACATTCAGATTCAAGCAATTATTGCTTTGCTTGTAGTCTAAGTTAGTCTGTTGGTTTCTTACGATTGACTGACGGAGAACAAGTTTAAATAGCAAAATTAATAATATCAATTACGCAGTAGTAATGAAGTAATTATATTTTACATACATTATTTAATATTAATAATCTTGAGAAATAATAATTACCATTATAGCTTTATTTTCGGAATAATTCCGAGATCTAAATTTTTTATGAAACGTTTTGTATTTGCTTTCGAATAGTACCTATTAAAGTAAATAAAAATACATCCTATTGAAGAAGGTCACTAATGATAACAAGTTAGTGCGAAATTAGCTGTAAAATTAAATATACCTTGATTATAAATCATGAAAAATTATGAAAATTAGTTTCGGAGGGGTTTCAAGTGTGTTTAATACAAATCTGAAGTCTAATTTTAGAAAATCAAAATGACAAACTTAATATGACTGATGTAAATATAAAATATTGAGAAATTAACTAAAGATAATTATTTATCATGGTATGTTGGTAGAGATTATTTTGAAATTAGTATATTTAAAAGAACCAAAATGACGGAACCAAAATAATTATGATTATGATTACTTATATAATAACAAATAAAAAATATTGAATATGAGAATAATAGTATCTATCGCGCTTTAGGCTATATCTATAGCTTCTGTTGGACGTTCTAAAATTTCAGCGGTCTTTTTTTATATTTTGTTTTTGTAAGTATTTTTCGTTTTGTATTTCGTTTTGTTATGATATTGACAATTCCATACTTATATCTTTCAAATTTATGAAATATGTAACGATTCGCACATGGGATTTTTTCAAAAACCAGTTGTGTGTCAAAAAATAAAGATAGTTTTCTTTCATTTCAAAATATGCACTGAAAGTAACTATTTATTCTTATGAAAATATATATCCAGCTGAAGATTTTCAGTTTTAACTATTTACCGACTTTTTATTACTTAATCGTTCTTACATTTTCCTTTTCATTTTTTTTAGTAAGTGCAAAACGTTGTAGCTATCACAAAACAATATTTTGCCTTATGTACGCAAAATAAGCTTTAAATTGACCACTTACAGAAATCAATATAATTTTTTAAGCATTTATTTATTCTTTTACCTATTTTGTTTATGTTCTATCGAATTTGTACAAGATTTAAGTTCAAGCTTGTATATGAAACATTTGAAAAAGAAAATCATATGTAGGACTAAAAAACTGATCTTTCTTATATCCAATAGGTTTAATATCATTTTCTTTAGCAATTAAAAGTTATAGCCAGTTTCAGTTATTGGAAAGGCGAGTATCATTATGATATGATTTTTTTTGTAAAATTTCCGAATTAAAAAAGTTACTTGTAAGAAACAACAAAATTTTGTATGTAAATTGTTAATTAAGAAAAGTAACAGTTATTTTCAAGCGATTGCATTTTGATATGCAATTCTACACCTTTTTGAATATGTTTCAAAAGGAATCATTTTTCCGAAGTGAAAATCTAATTTGATTCCACTAATTTTAGTATCTTACCTTTGCGTTTGAAACACTGTACTTTTTTCTGGTCCTTTAAAAAAGAACTTTTTACTGTTTCCTTCACCTGACTGTACGACTTTAAAGCTAGTTTGAATATTCTTTCCAAAACTAGACAATCTCATAAATAATTGAACTTCGCCTATCTTTTCACCTCGATTGTTTAAAAGCTTGTAGGTGTTTTTATTTGATACAGGAGGCAAGCAATTTTCTTCAGAATTTTCTACCATATATGTAAATAGATCACTCCACGGTATACTAACCGAGCTTATCAATATATTCTTATATTCAATATTTAAAATTAATTGACTGCTGTACATCAGTTGTAATAACGATTCACATGTACTAGGAAACAGAACGGATTTTCCTGTGTTAAATTCTATTTCCAGAGATTCTGGGTCAGCTATAATAATAAGAGATTAATTTATAAAAAGGGTTATTTAAGAGCTAAACATACCTATGTCATTTCTTGAATCATCGTCAGCAATTTTCATTGTAATGTCGCCGAATATAATTGTTATAATTATATCATTTTTGGGTGGTAGAGGATTATAAGCAGTGCACAGTCTGATTTTTTCCGTTAAAATTTCTAATAAAAATAGCCTTTCCATTGTAAATTTCGAGTTAAAATGTAAAACCAATCATTATTGCTACATGAATTTATGACAAACACATAATTTTCTATTTTGACAACATAATAACAATAAACTAATGTACAAACCTGACAACTATGATTATACTACAGTACATCTTGTTTTTATCATCATCATAAGGTCGTCAGTCCCAATACTGGTTGGACACGTTCCTCCACTCTTTCCTATCCTGAGCCAAACTTCGCATTTCCCTAAAACTAGAATAACCCACATCCTTAATTATTTGTGAACAGTAATCTAACCTAGGACTACCTCTATCCCTCCTAACTTCTGTTTCTGCCTCTAATATGTCTCTAACTAGACCTTCATGCCTGAGAAGGTGTCCTACCAACCTATCTCGCCTATTTTTTATTGACTTCCATAGAGTCCTCTGTTCTCCTATTCTTTCCAATACCTCTTCATTTCTAACCTTTTCTACCCACGATATCCTCATCATCCGCCTATAACACCACATTTCGAACGCTTCTAACCTTTTCTTTTCCGCCGCTCCCACTGTCCATGTTTCGCACCCGTACAACGCCGTGCTCCAAACATACACCTTTAACAACCTTTTTCGAATTTCTAAATTAACCGTTCGCGAGCATAGAAGTGACTTCTTTTTATTAAAGGCGACACGACCCTGCGCTATCCTCTGCTTTATATCCCTACTACTCCTTCCATCCTCACTTATCTGACTTCCTAGGTATCTAAAATCAGCCACTTCTTCTAATTTTTCGTCTCCTATCTTTATATTCGCTCTTTCCCTACTTTTTCTTCCCTTGCATATCAGTATTTTAGTTTTACTTTTATTTATTTTCATACAGTACTGATCTGTCAGTACCGCTTCCATTTTATTTAAAGCTATCTCTAGGTCCTCCTTGCTAGATGCTAATACTGCTATATCATCTGCAAATCTAAGCATACTAATCTTTTGCCCTTGCACATCTATCCCTACAGTTGTACTGTCTTTAATGATGTTGATGGCGTCTTCGATGTATAGATTAAAAAGTAGCGGTGACAGTGTGCATCCCTGTCTGACTCTCTTCCTAATATTTACTTCTCTACGTTGCATCCCTAGCTCTATAACTGCCTGTTGCTCTTTATACAAACTGAGTATCACTCTTCTAACTTTGTAACTCATCCCTACCGCCGCCTTTAGTATTTCGTCTGTCCTTTTACCTAGTCGAGACGTTTCCTACCTTCCCTCTTTTTCAGAATTTTCAGTTTAAAATTGATCTTCATAACTATCTATATCTGCTCCTGGATAATTCCTACAGTCCTTCACCTGATTTTTAAATCTTTGCCTAACAAATATATAATCTAACTAATATCTCCCTAAATCACCTGGCATCTTCCACGTATAGCGCCTTCTAACGTGATGGTTGAATACAGTATTCGTAACGGTTATGTTTATCGCAAAATTCTATCAGCCTATCTCCCCTTTCATTTCTATTGCCTAATCCAAAAGAACCTGCTATTGCACCTACTTTACTTTCACCTATTACTGCGTTGAAATCTCCTAGAACTATTAAGTTGTCCTGTCCTTTCATTAAACTTAACACGTCTTCTATATCTGCATAAACTGCTTCTACGTCTTCATCACTGTAAGATGATGTAGGCATGTAGACTTGCACTAATACCGTTCTTACCGGCTTTGAGTTTAATGTAATCATAACTATCCTATCGCCTTATTGTAAATAACTTTCTACACTCTACCCTACTTTCCTACGCAATACAATTCCTACCCCCGAATTACCTTCTACCGATCCTGTATGTATTACTCTAAAGTCCCCACTCCAGAAGTCTCTAGCTTCGGGCCAATACCTACTATATCTAATTCTAATCTGTTCATCTCTATTTTTAAATTGTCTAATTTTCCTACTTGCCTAATTGTTCTAACATTCCACGCTTCGACTCGTGAAATATTGCACCTATCCCTATTGCACTTATTGATGACATCCCCCGAGGTAGTCCTCGACCGGACATCCGAATGGGGGACTACTTTACGTCCGGAGTGCTTTACCCCAGAGGACGTCATCATTTAATTTTTGTGTACGTTGTACTCGGGATCATAATGTGGTGGTTTCCCGTTGCCTTCCACATCGCAGTATTGTGCATCAGGTTGCCATAATTGGTGGCAATTGATGCAGTAATGTTGGATGCAATTAATGATTTTATTCTTCCGAATTTTTCTACAAGGTATATAGCAATAAATATTCCGGGAACTTGAATTAAAGCGGCAATAATAATATTTAGAAAATTTTTACCGGCCAATTGGTTAAGGTATTGCGAAACACCGTAAAAACAAAAGCCACAAACAAACCAATTAGATGCTATACATGCTGTTCGTCTTCGTAAAAATCTGTGTTTAAATAAGAGAGTAAAGTAAATAGAATAACTACAATAATAAGGAAAACTTTCGATAAAAAGGGGTACTGTAATGCTGTCTTCTTAGATGTGTCGCAAGCTTTTGATAGAGTATGGCACGAAGGTCTTATTTTTAAAATAAAAAAATGCTTGCCAATTGAACTGGCAGAACTGCTGAAATCATATTTGACCGACAGAACATTCAGAGTTAAGTTTGGACAGCAACTCTCATCTTTTTTCGCTATTAAAGCAGGTGTGCCGCAAGCCAGCATCATTGGACCTACGATTTATATATTATATATCGCTGATTTTCCCACATTTAACAACATCACCATCGCGACCTACGCCGACGATACAGCCATGATCAGGGGCGCAACAAGGGGGTGGGTCCACGGGTACACCCAGGCACCCACTCGATTGGGTTGGGCACACAGTCAATTCCAGTCGATTCAGATAATAACTCGGTTCAAACAGTTCATGTTCGTAAATGAACAGCCGAAATGATTTTTTTTAGTCATTTACAGTATTATGATGAGAGCAGCCGAACTTGTTTTTTTCGATTTTTTCAATTATTTACATTAATGACTTTTTTTTAGTCATTTATATATTATGATGAGAACTGTTTTATAGTGATGAAACTAACAATGAAGGCAGCTTCGAAAAAAGGTTTAAAATAGGGTTTATACAAAAACCGACATTTTAGAAAACCGGTTTTCGAATAGTAATTTTTCCAGAAAACCGGTTTCGAATTTTTATAAAAAAAATTTTTGCTCGAATATTCTGTAATTCGAACAAAAAATTTTAACAGAAAATTTAGAGTGATTAAAAGCAGTTTTTGACTGAAATTATTTACTGTTCA